CTAAAATTATAGACTGTCTGTAAATTTGCCAGTCTGAATTGCTTATGCTTGCTTCGAAATTTACTGTACTACTTTTGATTAGTTCAACAAGTTCAGAACAGATCTGTTTTGAAATTGACATTGGGAGAATAAACGCATACTTCTTTGTCCGTTCGTCTTTAAACATTCAGTTTTCACCGTTGAATTTTTTTTAAACAGGAAATGTTATCATTTCACTAATTAGACCTACAGTCTGTGAAAACTCTCCCCTTTCTGACCTGATGTGTCTGCTACTAGCCAGTCTTTGACTTGATGAGCTGCCTTCATATTGCATAAATACATTTGATTGGATGCATTTGATTGAATAAACCGCAACAGAGGAACCTGTTACCGAAGCTGTTACTGAAGCTCTGCTGCAGTAATTTTTTAAGTGTTTGCTCTGGTCCGTCTACATCCGCTTGATGACACCTGGTCTAAAGAGCTTTTACGCCCATTCAGGTTAAAGTTTGGGCGTAAAACACTCTTTGTAATATTCAAAATTGGGCAGCTGCCAATAAACTATCTGCTCAGAATCACCACTCTTGTCACTGTGGCTCCGTAGGATCAGTAAACAGGAGAAAAAAATAATCAGTCATAAACAGCCAATCCTACTTGCCTTCAGCATTCAGGTGTTTTAGCTTAGCCAGGGCCTGTGTGTATTTTGAGGCCGTGGTTTTAGAAGAAACAATGAACAGGAGACAGTATTTGAATTCTCAGAACAGCTAGCTTTATCTAATGTACACCAAAAATCACTGACTATACCTTTAATGGGGAAACAGTCATGTTTGGCTATTACTTTCAATGGTGGAAAGTCCTGCACCATGCCAGAGCTTTAAAAATGGCCATAATTCCAACCAAAACTCTAGATCAACCCCAAGATAACATTAATTAATTCATTTATTCATGTTCAGTAACCTCTTTATCCTGGCTAGGGTTAGTGTGGACCCGGAGCCTATCCTGCTAGAGCAAGGTGGGAGAGTTCATCCTGGATGGGCACCATGTACACACACACACACACACACACCTACCAGCAATTTAACATAGCCAATCTGGATGGTTTTGAGAGTGGGAGGAAACCAGAGAACCCTGACGAAACCCATGTGAACATGGGGATCTGCGCACAGACAGTAAACCACGTTCAGAATTGAACCGGCGACCCTGAAGTTGTGAGGCAGCAGTGCTACTTGCTATGTCACCATGCTGCCCACAGACATGCATGATCGATTTCAACACTTTTGCATAATATCTTACAGTTTCGATGGGAAAAGGTATGTTAGTACAGAGTACTTTACCCATCTCAACTCCGCTTCTGCAATGGTGGTGATTTATCTGTTGACATTGTCTGATTGGCAACACTCACAGAAAGCTAGCAGACAGTAGACCTGAAATCTTTCGCTTGAAGTGTTTGAACAGAAGCAAACCATTGTCGATACACTCAGCGGTGTGGTTTTTATAGAAATTCACTTTCACTCCATTTCAGCCATATGTGTCATATACAGGCTTTACTTCCTTCCTTCAACAGCACACGTTTACTTATTAACAGAATTAACATCAAGGTGTGTGCAAAAACGCCTTACCAAAATTCCGTACCAAAATAACAATTCTACACAGGTAACTCCCAGGAGATGAGAATCCAGTACTACATTACACAATTCAGGCTGAAGTCTGTAGGTTTGCAGGTCTGTATAATGACAACAGACTGCACTATTTAGTTATTAAAATAATAATACTGAATAAAATGATGTGATTTCAAACTGTAATGTATCATTCATTCATTCATTCATCTTCACTAACCATTTTATGCTGTTCAGGATCACAGTAGTTGTGCATAGTAATAAATAGCTTATTAACATTCTCATTTCTAATACTTGATGTAGTTTGTGACTTCAGTCCTTCCTAAAAGATTTCTTGATCGTGATGATGTTGGTAGGTGTGTGTCAGAGAGGAGCTAGATTCCTAACTTGAATCTCTTTGGCAAAAGGAGATTACTGGTTGATATGCATTAATCGGTTCTCCAAGTGTATTCTTTTGACAGCGTAAGCCTATTAAGGGGATTTATTACTTACCCACTGAACAAGGATTATGGCAATATGGCTGTCATGTTGTCTGGTTTAACTAGAGGTTTTTGTTGAGGCACAATTGCTTTTTGCATTTAAGAAGGGTTAATGTTGGGCAATATAACAGTATAATATCACTATTGCAATAACAATAACAATTACAGTGGTTTATTAAAATCTATCAGTTAATTTGTCCTCCTATTGCTTGCTAAATATTTATTTTGGTTGACATTAGATAAAAATATGACTTTTCATGTTTTTCATATGTGAAACTTTGTAAGCAAAGTTTCCAAATTTCCCATAAGACAACGAGAAGCTTCTGTCATTTATAGGGATGATGAGGTCACTGTTGTATAATTAGGTACATGATGTAACTTCCTTCCTGTAGGGAGACTGTAGTGGGATATTTGGCCAAGTTTTGCTACAATCTGTAGTTTTATTTTGTTGGCTGTGTAATGTAGGAACTTACCGAAGCTTGCTACTATTTTTGCCTGCTTTTTCCTAAGAGAGCTACATGGTCGAGGTTTCAGTTTGGGGAGTCCAGGCGAACGTGGCCACACTGCTCTGTACGTGAGCAGCTTGAGTGACTCAGCACTGTGAATGTCTTTGCTTTGTCACTCCTTCCAGCTTCCCTCATTCATAGTCTTCACAGTCTTACCCAAACTCTTAGTAAAGCAGCAGCAGGCTGGATTCTGTTTCAAAGGGAGCTCAGCATGACTGTCAAGGATTTAGATCTTAGCTCTTAGTATGTACTAGACCAATAGATTTGGAAGAAGTGACATGTTAGATAAAAAATATGGCATCTCATTTAAAATGACTAAAAATAGACAGTGTATTTCTGATTTATTTCAGGTTTAACCACTATTCAGGTTTATTTCTAGCTATTAAAGGCAATTCTGTGATTTTACGTAAAGCCATGTTAGACAAAAAGAGCTATTGCCTATTGCTGAGAACAGCATCCACAGACTGAAAATAAGAACAGATTAAATATCCCCAATCATGGCAGCTATCAGGAATATGTATTGGGGGGACAAATAATACAAATAATACATTTCTTAGCAAGTTCATCAGCCATCAGCAAGTAAATCAGCCTTTTAATCAGCCAATTAGAAGATCCAGTGTAGTTTGTGTACTTTGTACTAGCATATATATATATATATATATATATATGTGTTTAAACAGCGTTTTATTTGGTGACTTTTAGTCATCCTGGCTTAAATCCATTCTATTGTACAAATGTGTAAATTTGGAGAGAGTGTTGCTGGCATGGTGTGATGGTTTGGATCCACTTGTCCCTTTAAAGTGTAGTGTCAGTAAAAAATCAATACAAAGTTATTATGATGGATTCTCTTAATCTTAAAATGTAACATTTCTATTCTGATGGGATTGTTCTCTTCAGCAATGACCCTGCCCTCATCTATGGCACGAAGGCTCAGTGAATGGTTTGATGAGTATGACAATATATACTATTGCTTTCACAGTCACCAGATCTCAACTCACTTGCACATCAAAGAAGGAAAACAGGTGACATTTCTGGAAATTGCATTGTTTCTGAAATTAACAAGTAAAACTCTTAAATGGTACAATAAACTCAACTTCATTGTATGTGAGATACGTGGAAGGCAAACGGGAACACATTCATCAGTGTAGAAATGTGTAAAAAATGAAAGCTGCAACTGTGAATAACGGCACAAAGCAAATATCTTGCCTGTAATGATATGCTGATAATTCCTCACATTTGGAGTGTTGAAAAAGTAGGACAGTTAATATACACACTTAGTAGTGGCCTAAAAAGATCTTTTAAAACTCCTTAAAACCAAGGCTCTGGTGAGACTGCATAACTGCATCTACTCCACAAAGCTCGTATAATTATATGGCTGTCACATGGAAACCATTTGGAAATCATTGCAACAAAGGCTAGTGGTTAACACTCACAACCTGGCTTGCTTGTAAGTAGGATAAAAGAATAGTGTGATCTTTTTGGGAAATTAAGGGGTTGAGTATTCTTGAGCTTAAAGAAACCTCCAACGCAGGTTACCCAGCTCTGTAGTATGGCTGCTGTTAAATAACGTTTTTGTTTCCTGCATGAAATTATTCAAAATGTGTGTAACTGCCTTCCAGCAAAACTTTAAGCTCCTTTGAAGGCATACAAAAAGTTATACTGGAGATAGAGACTCGACTTGAGTCACACTTTGACAGACACATGACTTCAGACTAGTGACATTTCTGCCTGGATAAAAGCATGAACAAAAATGAATAAATTAGGCCAATCTTAATTGCACACGTCAGTATTCAGACCACAGACGTACCTACCTAAGCGCTGCTTGGACAGTGGTGCATGAGTTGCGACCGTGGGAGTTTGACAAAGCATGTCTCAGTTATGACCTTGAACCTAAGATAATTTTCCATGCATGATATCAGCTTGAGCAAGGAGCACTGTTAAGACCAACGCCACTGTCTGATCAATTGTTGTAACCACAGCAGTCCAAAAAACAGGAGCAATAGCTTATCTTCTCCCTCAACATTTTTCAGTGATATTCAATGTCATATTAAAAAGAAATGTGCAGTAGAAGTAGGTGAGACAGCAAAAGTTGGACTCTAGAAGTTCCAGAATTTCATACAACTTTATGCAGTGCAGTTAGGGGTTGTGGTCAATAACCAACTTGGCTTCGAAACCTAAATTGAGTGCACAGATAAGGAGGTGAGAGAGCTGGACATTCTAAAGGATAAAACACTGGTCTCTTTAGGTAGAGATGGCATTGTAGGTAATGTAGGAAACCATTAACCAAGTAAAAATAGCCCAACGTGGTGATAAAAGTTTAAAATGTCACTCAGATTTCATTATAAATTATTATCAGATTATTATCTTGTATGCCATTGAGTATAACATATTAATTATAAATATTGATAGGTAAGATGTTCAGGGTCAGGGGGCCTAATGGTTAGAGAGTCGGACTTGTAATCCGAAGGTGAACCTGAAGGTCACGGGTTCGAGTCTCAAGTCCGACAGGGATTGTAGGTGGGGGGGAGTGAATGACCAGTGCTCTCTTCCACCCTCAATATCATGAATGAGGTGAAACCCTTGAGCAAGGCACCAAACCCCCAACTGCTCCCCGGGCGCCGCAGCAAAATAAGGCTGCCCACTTCTCTGGGTGTGTGTTCACGGTTTGTGTGTGCACTTGGATGGGTTAAATGCAGAGCGCAAATTCCGAGTGTGGGTCACCATACTTGGCCACAAGTCACTTCAGGGTGGATTTTTCCTCTTAGTGTTAACTAAAGTGTACAGTGAAAGAATTGAGACTTGACACTGACTTCAAGCTCAGAGACTTGAGCCTTATCTCAGACTTCCAGAACGTGATGTGTGATCATCTTTTTTATCACTTGCATTCATAAAGTAATATTATTAATGTTTTTTTTGTGTTCTTTGTGCGTGTTGCTTTTTAAACAGATATTTTAAACAGTTTTGCCAATAGGCTGATTGTAACATCTGGCCTGTATGATTTTATTATTTTTTTTATGAATGTAGCTTAAAGTGAATGTGGATATAAAGTGACAAGAACCTTCCGCATGCATCAGTTCAGCTCTTGGGGCGATGGAGCATTTTGTAGTGTTGGCTGTGTGATGAGAAGAGAAAGTGACAGAGAGAGAAGCAGTATCCTGCCATCCTGCGGTCTCACTGAGTCCAGATCTGCGGAATCACTAAATCTGGGAGAGCCTCTTAATAGGGAGACACTCTGGGATGCCGTTACTTCCTGATTACATGATCCTTTGTTGTGACGGGCAGAGCTAAGAACCTCTTGGTGTGAGGCCAAAAGGCTTCTCCCAGTGACCAAGTGCTTGGGCTAATCTTTTCCATGTTAAACCAGATAATAAAGGCTTTGTGTTACTAGCAATTGGACTCCACATTTAGATTTTGGTGTTTCTGTTGGCCTTTATTCAGAGGAATGTGCCGTTAATAGGTGTGAAGTCTATTAATGGACTACTTAGGAGTTTCTCCAGTAGAAAGCAGAAGATTAACTGGCACATCAGACAAAGCAGCAGTGCAAGATGTCCGGTCTCCTCTGAAGTATTCCGGACACTCACTGGCCGTAGGTGGAAACTGGAATATGAAGCCAGACACTAAAACTGCTAAATAGTCTTTGCTAAAAAGTCACATATCCTGTAACGTTTGACCTGCTTTTTCCTTCTCATGTTGTGTGACATCGCACACTCAATTAAAAATGTTGACTTAGGAGGATGCCAGAGAAGACAGCATCTTAATCAGAGACATTGATTATCTCGAGTACTGAATTTTATATAGATAAATTTATAAACAACACTTAAAGTGAGCTGTAAGCATAGGAGATGACTGCTTGGTAAGCTTATCCTTTAAACTGTGAACACTTTCTCTTTACCAGAGAGTGCAACAAATCAACAAAAACATTATTGCAAATATTTGAATAACTCAAAATGAATTCAAATCATAAATAGATAGTCTGCATCCCATACACACACTACAGTTTCATCTGTCTCTCTTGACCACATTAAATTTTGCCCACAATTAACTTTCAGCGCACAATATAAAACGATAAAAATTTCACCCCTGCTTAAGGTTCATAATTTCTTTACATCAGATGGGTTTTCAGGCTGCCACACATATTATTGAGTCCATGGCAAATAGTGCTATTGCAATTACAGCTATACATACATGGATTGTTTTAATATGGTACCGTGATATTGCGAATATTGTAACAAAACAGTTAGGAAATTAATGGGATATTACATATTAATATTTAACATTTTCATTATTGTGTTCTACATGAGTAGAAGTTCATCGAGTTTGAGGACTCCCAGGAGCAGGAGAAGAAGGACCTGCAAAACCATGTGGAGAGGATGAACTCACATTCACGCCAGCTGGAGCTGAAACTCAAGAACTTTGCTGATCAGAGTAAGCACTTACTCATTCTCTCGCTCACGCTCCCACTCTGTTCCTCCCTCCATGCATTTCTTCTCAGCCAGCCTCATCTATCCTTCTAACTCTGGCATTTTTTTCAATTATTGCATGTTGCACAGTGTTTACAGGTCCTATCAAGCACCACAGCTCTAGTGTTGCTGCTATGGTTGGGTGATATGACAATACGTTATTGATATCACTGTTTATAAGCATAAGCATTTTATAACCCGAATGTGACTCACTATAACTAATTGTTTTTTTTTTTTGTATCAATTGTTTCATTTTCCTTCCCATTCCTTGTTACATACATTATTGTGATACATTTCATGTATCATGAAGAAACATATGTTTATTATATGGGATGGATACAATTTCATGTTGTTTAATGATGAAAATTTAATTTTTTATTACATGTTATACAACAACGCAATCTGTTCATCATGTGCTGATTAATTTTCACTAAAAGCATGGCTCCAGCAGCAGTGCTGGAAGTATTAATTTTTACATATATTAATGCACTTGTTCTAATAAGTTATTGTGTCTGTAATAACAACTTACACAGGAACTTGTATGATGGTTGATCTATATAATAAAAGGATAATAATGAAAAACAGATTCAAATGTTAATAAAAGAATAAAAGAAATAAAAGAAAATCATTGATATGGTGAATCCTTCTGTATGGAGCCATTTATTAAACATTTCTGGAAGGAGTCTCCAGTGTCAGTGCTTTGTAACAGTCAGAGCTTTGTAATGGTCAAAACTTCAGGACAGTGGACTGTCTGGTGTCTTGGTCACAGGACAATGTGTGTTTTATTGTTTTTATTAACTTCAAGAGAGACAACAAAGAGAGGGTGCTGAGGGATTGACTGTTTACAGCTGTTGTAACATAAGTGATAGCATTCCGCAAGATCAAGTGTTGTGAAAATGGTTGAACAGTTAAAAAGTATGATACATCGTTCTGTACTAAATATTTATTTTATTTGAATTATTAAAAAAATTTAATTACTGTTGCCAAATAGCTGAAGTATAAGAGATTTTTAAAAATGTTTGGAAAACAGTCCACTCTGGGGTGGTAACAGTAACTCCGCCACATTACACCACCCCGTCACGGATTATTTTCCTAGAACGGCACACCCCATCATGTTTTATGCCTTACTAATAATTCAATTCAGTTCAGTTAGGAACCGGAGCTAACGAGGAGCTAAGAACAGTACCAGGAATTATCATTATTTCCAAATCTTATATTGTAAATACAGGGATATGCCATTCATGTGTTTGTGATATGTAGCTGCAATATTTCCAATAATCAGTCCATTTCTCTTTGTCCCTCTTTTTTTTTATGCCATTCATTCGGTTGTGAATTTATAAACCCCCACACTGGTATTGTGCAGCTAATCTAGGCTATGACCTCATTTTAGTCACACCATCTTCCACACATTCCCATTAACTCTCACCACCTAATGCAATAAGAAACCAGCCAGCCATAATGTAACAGTAATGTAACAGTAAATGAAACATATTTGTTTGTAATCCTTTCCAGCTCCAGTGTATTTATGCACTGTAACACAGGTTTGATTTAGATTTATTTGCATGCTTAGCTTCATTCTAGCAGGATTACCGAGTACAGTGCATTACTGGTGCATTAAGCCCATGGGAAGCACTTTTGTTGTATGGTGGCTTATTTGGGAATTATAAAGCTCTCATGCATATACCCACAGGCTCTCTAATATGGTGCTCATGTATGGAAATCACAGCTCAAAAAAGCAGCTATGTGCAGCAAACTCTGGTAAGTGGTGAATGATTCACAAGAGCTGTATGCTGCCTGAGAAATATTTCCCACTGAGTTCATAGTCCAGTTTAAGCATGACCAGAGCATTTACAGCATGCTCTAAAAAATGCAGAAGGACAGTGTTATTGTTGTTATTAACCATTCAGTTCATAAGGATCATTTTATATGTTAAAACATTTGTAACTGATCTTCCATTTGCAATGTTATTTCTTCAAATATAAAAAATGCCCACTCATCCATAATGCAGTTTATACTCCACGTGTTGTTTTTAGAATTTAGACAGGGAAATTTAGACAGCTTCCTGTTACAGCCTGGAACCTGACTTGATTGAAGCTTGAGCTGTTATGGGAGCTGCTGATTTATTCGTCTGATCATGTGCAGGCTACACGAGTCCCCTCCATACATCACATCCACACATCAAAGTCAGTCTCCCCGCTGCTCCAGTTTATTATTCAGTTATTCATCTTAAAGCTTGTTATTCATTACTATGATAATTACCAATTATTCAGTAATCAGAGTACTATAGGATAGAGGATAAGATTCTCATCTCAAGATTCCAGCTTTAGCCATTGTACTAGAAATGCTCAAACTGATTTCCACTAGCAGCTTTTTAATAGACTACATAGTCACCCAGTGGCTAAATGGTATCACTGCATTATTCAGATAGATGCCTGTCCTTTCTGATGGCAACTGCTCCATATCAGTGTTTTACAACTTTCACATGATATGGGAGTTGGCGTTCTGGTTATAGCTTCCCCCTGACTAAAGGAAGATGGGTACGAGTATGGATTATCTACATCCAGGCAAACCAACATTGGCGTGCAGAATGTAATCTCAGAACAACTTATTGAATATTGTCTCAAAGATGGAAGAAGCTGAAGATGTTCCTCACTGAAGAACTAGAAAGAACTTCTCCACTGAGCACAGGAACATTAAAAACTGGACCCTTGAGAACTGGAAAAAGGTTTCGGTTTGGTTGGTCATACAAATACGGAGCCAAGCAAGTTTTCATTGCTTCAGTGACCTGCACAGGCTTTTCTCAACTCTGTCTTTGGAATGAGGCAGGAATGACCGAGCGCACAGTGCATCAAGATTTTTGCTCATGCTCAGTGGAATTCATGGTGTTCTTGCAGACTGAATGTTATTTGAATCATTACTTGGTTTGCAGATTAGACCGGGGTTACACCAGCTTTTAAATACACGTATGCAAGATGGCTGACATGCACATCCTGCATTCCACATCCAAAAAAAAAAGGAACCCATGCACATTGTGCAGACAGTATGAC